ATTTCAATTTTTGTCCATACCGGTCCTATATGTTCACGGGAGACATAATACGGTGTCGGATTCGCGAAATTCACTTTCTAAGCCTTCGAAAATCGCCTGCGAAGTCCCGGGAATAAAATAATATTATTTTTCCAATTTTTTGCCGAAATTCCCGTTTTTGTCCAAAACCACTCTAAATGTACGTGGCCACTCCAAAATGACCTTGGCCGCGAAAAATAAACTCAAACGGCCTCCGAATCCCGCCCCGGTGCCCACGGGGCAAAACCGTAATTTTCCCAATTTTTGTCGAAATTCCTATTTTCAGCCGGTCTTGTCCCAAACTTACTTGGCCACTATAAAATGACGTCCGTCCTATAAAATAGTCATAATTACCCTTGAAATTTTGATATCGGAGTTCGGCTCAATATCGCGATCAAAATAACTCGTTTTGAAATCTTAGGATCTCTCACTAACGGGTGGCCATTTAGGTGTTACGCGTATCGACCTAAGACTGTCCGAGTCTCGATAGTCTCAAATCTCGAGAGAAGGTGAGAGATTATCACTAGTACCGGGGGTCGCGATCGTTCGGATATAATTTGGGATTTGTTTGTCAGGCGTACTTTCGGTCGTGCGGAATCACCCGCGATCCAATCGTACGTTACTAACTATATCAAATCTATTATCTTCCTAAGATCGGCCCATATTGGCTCAAGATATTCCCTCGACGTTTCTCGAAATCAGTGTCCAATCGCGATCGTCTTTCTCGGTCCACGTACCTGTTCCTATTTTAGCCTTTCCCATTTGGTTAGTATCCCGTGATTGATCAAGTCCGGGCGAGACTCACTAAAATCACACGAGAATTAATATACGCTTTACTAGTTCCGATAGCGGGTCAAAATTCAGGATGTTACATTAGTGAGTTTACTTATTGAGTCCCCCGACTCATTCCCCGTTATTTTTCTCTTTTCAGGTCCGTAGAATGGTGTTTCCCCCAACCTGTTTCGGCAACCTCATAGAGATGCGAGCTGAGTTGCTTACCGTGATCGATGATCGTGAAGGCCACGCCTACTGTCGGATTACAACTTATGTTATGGTGGACGAGGGCCTCGAGGAATTAGTCCCCCACACGTATGTGGCGTGGTACCGCTTATCTAACTGAGACTGGATTGGACCCCTGTGCGGGTTCAACGGCCCTTTTGACGGTATTGGCGGGCCGGCTCCAGGGCATACTACGGGTGGGGCGTGAGACGACCAAGCGGACAGGTCGCAGGGAGGAGTAGCACATGTGAACGGGAGCGCGAGTAGATGGAGTAGTGGGAGTAGGATTACCCTAAGCCGAAATTTTATTATCTATAGTCGGCCTTTGCACAAAAAAGCCTTTGGAATAGGCGTGTGAAATATGTATGATGTTTGCAATGGCTCGAGAGACGGGCTTGTTAAAATAAGCACGATCCTGTAAATATAACGTGCGATGGTTTGCTCATGTTGTTCTTGTGATTACTCATTTAGATTTGCTTCCGCTTGAGCATTTGAATAAAATGAACGGGTCGTACTAACTTGTTTCCGGAAGTCACGAGCTCGTTCTGGTCATGATCAGTCATCACACATTGATCGTGATTCCGTGTCGGGGCGTGACACTAACGAGTAAGCACATGAGTTACCTTCCCTAAATTATGTAGCATTTTGACATGCTGGAAACACCTTAAAAGTTTCTGAACCTGAGGAATGAGCGTGTCGCCAAAGTTGAGAGCGGGAGATGATCTCTGAAGCAGTGAAATGGCGACTTGCGAGTCCACCTCTACAATAAGTTTAGGTATGCCCAGAGAAATTGTCATTTTAAGACCCAAAAGGATGCTCCATAGTTCTGCTTTGAGCGAAGAGCACACTCCCACAATTTGAGCAAATTCAGCAAGCGAACTGCCTAATTCATTTATCAAAAGCCCACCTACTGAGGCGGATCCCGGGTTGCCTTTAGAGGCCCCGTCGAAATTAAGCTTTACCCAACCAGTCGGGGGGCAGCCCAACCCACAAGCTTATCTCTTTTCTCCCTTTGAGGCGACAATCTATGTTCTGCCAGTTGCACTGAAGCGATATCTTTCACATGGCCTAGAATCATGCACAAGGGTTCGTTGGTGAGACAAAAATCCTTCTCAAATAATCGTTTATTCCTCTAGTTCCAGAAATGCCAACAAGCAACAGCAAAAATAGGTGACCAGTTATCCTGAACCCTAGTTGATGAACCATATAGGTACAATATCAACCATGGGAGTAGATCTTGGGTGAAGAAGTCACCTCGGAAGCTGGCAGGTAGAATCTTTTGCCAAACTGCCTTTGCATATTTGCAATCTCTGAGAACATGCATAATTGTCTCTGGATAGTGTGGGCACATCGCGCAACAAGAGTCCATTGTGAGTCTACGTCAAAATCTTTCATCATTAGTGAGCAGGCACTGATGAGAGACCAACCACAAGAAGCTTTTGATTTTTTTTAGCCCATCCCATTTCTATACTAAACTCCAGAATGGTTAGTCACACTCATTTACAAGTGTTTTTAATTGGGAAATGACACAAATAGTCTCTGAACTTTTAATTTGTTCAATGTGGTCTTTAAACTTTAGTTTAATGTGCAATGTTGTCCCTAATTCTTTAGATTGTTCAATGTGATTCCTGGACTTCTGGTACATGTTCAATTTAGTCCATGAATTATATGAAAATGTTCAATGTTATTCCTAAACTTGAAATAAATGAAGGACAATATTAAATATTTATATATAGTTCAAAGACTAAATTGAATACATACCAAAAGTTCATGGACCATACTGAACAAATTAAAAGTTTGGGAACCACAGTGCATATTAGGGTAAAGTTTAGGGACCGCATTGAACAAATTAAAAATCCATGGACTATATTGCATATTGGGCAAAAAATCATGGATCATTTATATCATTATCTCTTTTTAATTCTAAGTTAATCTCGAATACACAAGAATCAATATGACGAAACGAATTTTCTCACTCTCAAATTCTCTTAGGTGATGGTTCTCAATGTTTTTTTGGCTCTCTCGCAAGTTTCATACATATTAAGCGCACTTACCATGCACACCAAACGAAATGCACTTACTAGTTACTATGCACACCAAACGAAATTCAACAATGGAATAACTATAAGCACTTCTCCTACACCAACTTACACTTCATCTTCAATGAGGGAAAGAAGTCTTGTGGGAAATTACATCAACATAGACTCTATCTTCAATGTGGAAAAGAACTCTTATTTTCCTTTTTGTATCACCCACGATGCCCGTAGGTGCCTTTAAAATCCTGATTTTAACCGATTTCTTCCGAGCTATCTTATTTAAAGTTCATCTCTTGCTGTTATTTTTGCGAAGATAGTTGATTTGTGGAAGAACAAATTTGGTTTCGATGATGCTTTCAATTACAATGAGGAATATTTTTATACAGTCCAAGGACTAAGTTGATCATATACCAAAAGTCCAGAAATCACATTAAACAAATTAAAAGTTCTTGGACGATATTGCACATTGGATTAAAGTTCAAGAATCATAATGAACATACTTAAAATTCAGAAACCATATTGCACATTAAGTCAACGGTCAATAACCATTTATGTCATTAATCCTTCTATTAACAGATGAGTCTAGATCAAAAATTTTACGCCAACCCGTTTAAGTTCATCCATCTCATCATTTATTCTTTCAATCAAGGGTTATAATTTTCACCACCCTACTGTGTACGCATAATATTACGCTCGAATCAAGTCAAGGTGCTCAAATCCAATATACCCTCCCCTCTAATCGGGTCTCTCATCCACCTCGAGAAAATATTAGGTACCTCAGTGATACCAGGTCAGCAAAATATTAGTCCACTTAACGTGCGACACGTGGCTATTTCGGGCCCACATGTCAGATTTCTCTCCCCCTTTGTCTCTCTCCTCTCTCCCCTGCTTCTTCACGACTCCGTTAAAATTTTTGCGGGGGCGAGGGTCGCCCTCGCTGCCTGAGCAAGGGCTAGCCAGATCCAGAAGCTGCGGAGGGAGGGGACGACATCGGATCCGCAAGGGACCTCGAGGATGCAGGAGCTGTGGGAGGGCTCGGGGTTGCGGGTGATGAAGACCGGGGGGGGGGTGGGCGCTTGGGCAGGTTCTTGAACCCAGGGGAGCGGCGGACGAGGCGGAGTCCGCGAAGTCGTCGCCGTCGCAACCAGTTCCTTCAAGAAGAACACCCAACAAAAACCCTCTTCAAAACCCAGGACTCTCTCTGTTTTCTCAGCCTCTGCAACGCACCCAAATCCAACAAATTTCTCCTCTTTATCTCTGGGACACACATGGCTGAGAAAAATGGGATTTTGGAAAGTAGTGAAACTCCCAAAGACCAGAAGAATGCCTTCCCTTTCTTCCCCAACTTTGGTTTCAATTTCCCATTTCAATTCCCTGAGAAGGAGCCGAAACCAGTGAAGAAATGAAAAAGAGCAAAATTTTAGCGGAGTCGTGAAGAAGCAGGGGAGAGAGGAGAGAGACAAAGGGGGAGAGAAATCTGACATGTGGGCCCGAAATCACCACGTGTCGTACGTTAAGTGGATTAATATTTTACTGACCTGGTATGTACCTAATATTTTCTCCTGAACAAAGCTCTTTTTTGGAAAAAAAAAAAGAAAAAAAAAAGAGTGAGGGTGGTTAAGGATATATGGAAAAGGGAAACTGACGATGTGCAGAGCTTACCTCTTAAGAAAGGCATGATTTTAGGATTTTCTTCGAATTCTTTGCTTCCACGTAAAAAGATTCATGAAAGTTCTACTGCAAATCAGAGAATTTTCTAATGATTAGAATTCAATTGACTACTTTGGTGACCTTTTTTTATTTCCCAAGGAATTATTGGAATACTATTCCACCGATGACACTACGGCACACGTAAGCATGCATACAGATGACGCATGGGCACACGTCAGCAACGTATGCATATCTCATCGCCCATCTCCCCCCATACATACCCCGTGCAGTGTTTGGCTACGTTTCCCACCAATCAAATCCAAGAACAAAAAAATCCAAGAAAAGAAGGGGAGAGAGAGAGAGAAAACAGCTCTAGAGAGAGAATGGAGAAGGTGAACAAGAATGCATCAGTGGAAGTGATGAGCAACAAGCAGGTGATATACAGAGAGCAGGTACGAGGTTCCCTGAAAGAGACCAACTTGGAAGTTAGGACGAGCTCGGAGAGATTGAAGGCCGACGCCGGTTCGGGGGCCATCGCGGTGAAGAACTTGTACCTGGCTTGCGATCCCTACAATTTCAACCTCATCAAGTACTCCACTCAGCTCGGTTCCGTAAGTACCACCATCTCTCTCATTACATTTACTCGATTCATGATGGCGAGAGTAAGTTATGAACTCGCACGAATAAATCGAACTCAAATTTGCGACAAGTACACTCGACAAGTAAAATTCAAAGGGAGCAAACTCTCTCCTACTTGTAAGTTCAATGTCTATTCGCGTTTGCTAAATGTATTGGCACTTACATTCTGAAGTATATAACACAATGGTGCAGCCTGTTCCTGGATATGGAGTAGCTAGAGTTTTGGAATCTGGGCATCCAAACTTCAAGAAAGGCGACTTGGTTTGGGGCATGACTGGATGGGAGGAGTACAGTCTAATTACTGCGCCGGAGACTTGCTTCAAGATCGAACACGCCGATGTTCCTCTGTCTTACTACACCGGCCTTTTGGGTATGCTCTTTAATCATCTGGTTTAATATCTCTTTCTGTTAAAGAATAAGGGGAATCAGATTTTTAAGATACTTTGTTCGGTCTATTTCATTCTCAAGTTAGTATGGACAGCCATGACGGCTAATTTCGTGACTCGTCTGATTTCTACAAATCTAAACTTTCCAGGTATGCCAGGCATGACGGCTTATGCTGGGTTTTTCGAGGTATGCTCTCCTAAGAAAGGAGAGACTGCTTTCATATCCTCGGCGGCGGGAGCTGTTGGTCAGCTTGTTGGCCAGTTTGCAAAGTTGTTGGGCTGTTATGTTGTTGGCAGCGCCGGTAGCAAAGAGAAGGTAATCATCTCACATTCGTCTAGTGTTTCCTTGAATAGTAATTGTTTAAGCACTAGTGCGTTCACGACGATCTCCCCCTTCTTCTCCTCTCTCTCTCTCTCTCTCTCTCTCTCTCTCTCTCTCTCTCTCTCTCTCTCTCTCTCTCTCTCTCTCTCTCTCTCTCTCTCTCTCTCTCTCTCTCTCTCTCTCTCGTGTTGAAAGAAGTGCATAGTCACGTAGATGGTAATGGTTCACCCAACATGTTTGGCATCTGCAATTTTCACTGTTGTTTCATACTGAGTGACTAGACAAGCGTTTGAAATAGAGTGCATGTTCATGTTCTCTTAAAGGCTTAAACAGTCGTCTACTCATATAGAATTAAATCTAAAAAAAGCACTTGAGGTATGATGAGTGCTGTATGTCTCAAATTTGAGAATCCTCAAGAGAGTGATGGCAGTGTTGAATGCATACCCTCATCATTTCACTAAAAACAAATGCTAAAAATACAGTCTTAATAATCTCTTCCGGATTTTATCTTGCTTAAAGTTCTCTCTTGCTGTTATGTTCGCAAAAAAGGTTGATTTGCTGAAGAACAAGTTTGGATTCGATGATGCTTTCAACTACAAGGAGGAACTGGATCTGGATGCAGCACTGAAAAGGTGAGCCAGGAATATGGTAACGATGATTGAGCAAGTGACTGATGTACAGAATATAAAATATGCACACATTCTGAAGCCGACTCGAGTTGACTTTTTTCTGTCTTAAATGTTTAGATGCTTCCCCGAGGGGATCGATATCTACTTCGAAAATGTCGGCGGAAAGATGCTTGATGCGGTGCTGCTCAACATGAAACTTCATGGCCGAATCACAGTATGTGGAATGATCTCACAGTACAGCCTCGAGCAGCCCGAAGGCGTACACAACTTGCTGAACCTCCTCCTGAAGCGGGTTCGGATGGAAGGTTTCGTAGTGCCCGATTATTATCATCTCTACCCGAAGTTCCTGGAGACGGTATTGCCTCAGATCAAAGAGGGGAAGATTGTGTACGTGGAAGACATCGTCGAAGGGCTCGAGAACGGTCCGGCAGCTCTTGTCGGGGTGTTCTCCGGCCGCAGTGTCGGGAAACAGGTGGTCATGGTTTCTTGCGAATGAGTCAGCTTTCTGTACTTCTTCATCGGCATAATCTGTTTTTTTCTCGCGTTTTCAAAAGGGGTTGTTTTCTGTTTATCTGTGCGTTGCCGTTCTGTCCTGCGAGGTCGTTTGTGTATAGATACGTCTCTTATAACAAGGGACCAGACCATCTGGTTGGGTTGTTTTCCGGCAGCAATGTTGGCAAACAGGTGCTTGGAGTTTCTCACGAATGAGTCTAAAATATTATGCTATGCCTCTCTAAGATGTCGATGTAAAGGGTCATCGCCTCTCATAAAACTGGTTTGAGGTACCAAAATTGTTATGAATGCCCCGGAAACGTGAACAAATAAACGATTTGAACAAGAAATAAATTGTAGAAATAAATTCTGAAAATAACGAATGTATGTGGTTCAGCGATGCGTCTACTCCTACGGGAGAGATAGACGGGATGATTCCATTATAATTGGTGAAGATAAGATTACGACCACTTAATCACGGTCACTCATAAGTGTTTTCCAATCCTGAAATGAATCCAAAATCGCAACAATTAATCACAAGAAAAGAAGTTTTCCCACACTATCAACTCTCTTGGACGAGGCTCTCAATACTCTTTGTATCTCGCGAGTTTCGTACGTGTTAAGCGGACTCGCTATGCACACGGTTACGCTTAGAGATATTTAAATATCTTTTGGAGATATTTAGAAGATATTGAGGGTATTTTTAACACACCACACGAAACTTGACAAAAGAATATTTATACGCAATAAATTATGAGACATTAGCTAACATGGACTTTATCTTCAATGAGGAAAAGTGAGTGTTTTGGGAATCTCTCTTGCATTACACACGATCTGTAATGTTCTGAAATTTCGATTCGATTTGGTGATTTTTGGAATGGTAATTTGAATGACAAAATTTAGGAAATTGAACAAAAAAAAAAGAAAAAAAAAAGGAAAAATTTTGGTGGAAGATTTTCGTGTGGAGACAATCGTTGACTTTCTCTCCTCTCTCTCACTTTTCCCCTTCGTTCGGCAGACCACCCCACGCACTCCCACCAACTCCTCTCTCTCTCTCTCTTCCCCTTCCCCGCTAATTCCCCCTTCTTCGCTGACCTCTCCCACGCCTTTGACTCCCTCGCCCACTCCCACCAACTCCCCATCATTTCCCCCACTTCTTCTTCTGCTTCTTCTTTTCTTTCTTCTTCTTCGTTCTTTCTCCTTTCCGCTCGGCTCCTCCATTTTTGCTGCTCACCGCCGGCCTGTCCTCATCGGACCAGCCGCCGCCGTTCGCCGCTCCTCTCCGCCATCGAGCCACTGCCACCCCAACTCCATCTCAGACTGTGTAGCACCGCCCCTGGCCCCCCGGAACCTCCCGTCACTGGCCTGCTTTCCAGCCAAGGCGAGTGCACCTCTCGCCGGTCTCGCCCTCCGTCCGCCTCCGCTGCTTGCCGCCACTGTCCGGCACCCCAAGCCACCACCACCACCAGCTGCCATTACATCCTTAGATTAGCCCCCGATTTGACCCGAGCAGCCCCGAACAACCACCTACAGCTGCTCCTCCGTCGCGCCGTCCACCGCCGTTCTCGCTCGCCGTTCGTCCTACATGCTTGAGTTATGATGCTTATTCTATGAATGGCCGTGTTGATTAGCTGGAGTAGCTAAATGAATTTAATGCCTTAAGGATGAAAATTATGTTTTGAAATGAGGTTCACAAAGTCGATTGACCATTTGCATATGTGACCACTTGGCATTGGTCCGTGGCATTGATGTAAGCACGACTCATGCATGCATTGGCTAAATGAAAAGATAAGAATTGGCTTGAATGTTCGAGTGCTCGTGTGGTCACATGTTGGAGCCATCTTGCTGGACACCGCTTGACGATGCCTGACTTATCGGGGACTACTATAGATCGTGCCTGATTTGTCGGATGCCTGACTTATTGGGGATTGCTGTAGATCGCGCCTGATTTGTCGGATGCCTGATTATCCGGGACTGCTGTAGATCGAGCCTGATTTGTCGGATGCCTGATTATCGGGGACTGATGTAGATCGCGCCTGATTTATCGGATGCCTGGTTTATCAGGGTCTGCTGTAGATCGCGCCCGATTCATTAGATGCCTGATTTGTCGAGGTCTGCTGTAGATCGCGCTTGATTTATCGGATGCCTGATTTGTCGAGGTCTGCTGTAGATCGCGCTCGATTTATCGAATGCCTGATTTGTCGAGATCTGCTGTAGATCAAGCTCGATTCATCGGATGCTCGGTCATCCCGGAAGACTGCCATCTCGCTGTGTATCACTTGACGTTGCAGTGGACCTGAGAGGTCATGAGAAATTAAGAAATGGAACACGCATGTTGCATAGTATTCGATTATGGGGTGAATATTGCTAGGTATGGTATGAGACGTGCCCAAGTGATTTTACCTTATAATCGAGACACGCACGAGTATGGACGCATGATGCATGGGAAATCTCTTTATGTGTTCCGACTACGTCTTGTGCTGTGTGCATTGTTATGACATTGTTAACTGATGTTATGTATGACACGTGTGCTAAAGCGAGGTAAGGATGCCTATGGTTGATTACTGACTTGTGTCCAATGCGTGGTCATGTGATTAGGGACCCCCGAGGTGAGTTGGCCTTCTAAACGGGGCTTAGGCCGTTAACTTATTGAGACTTTCGTCTCATTTGTTGTTGTTAACATTTTTCAGGCCCTTAGCATGTTGATGCACCCAATATGGTTCGGGGTGTCTGGAAGCTAGCTTTTTGAGATTGACCTGTTGGTGAAATAGATTGGCCCCAGCCTGGTATCTTTTTGTTGGCTTTTGTGGTAATGCCTGAAGTGGGCTTGTAAAAATGTTCCCATGGGTTAATCAAGTGAATATTAAAAATGGTGTTGTTGTTTAACTGTTGCGAATCGTTTTCCTGTCTATCCTTATTTATTGTAGTTGTTCGGGTGATTATTGTTATCGCTTCCGTATGCGTAATTAAAAGATAAAATGAAGGATCGACGACGAGTCCTGGGACATCGCATCGTGATGACAGTAGTGGGATGTTGTGCATCCGTAGGGTTTGGGGCGTGACACGATCCTATAGCAAAAATCTACTTTGAGTTACAGGTTACCTTGCGATTCAGGTCCTGGGCATGATTTTAAAAGGTTTAAGGAGAGATAGGGGAATGAATTCCCCAGTATGATGGAGGGACCTCTCTAATAAGTTCTCTCCGTATTCCCTCTTTCGGAGAAAGAAAAATATTTGGAGAGAACTTAGGGGGACCTTGGGTGGTGAAGGTAGACACTACGTCAATTTCGACTGGTTACCGCCGGGTAAGGCAGGCAAAGTAACTTCCCGCACCTAGAGTGATAAAGGGGTGTTTCGGCACCTATGAACTTAGTCGCTAACGCGAATCAACCCGCAAGACTAGGACTCCGTAAGCCCGGTTGATGACTTCAAGCCATCCTCAATAAATCTCCACCTTGGCAAGAAGTCCAACTTCATCCTCGTGATTGTCGTCATCCCTAACCCCCTCTGGGCTCTTGTCACAAACACTAACCAAGTCCGACTCATGCTAGAACTTGGTCATTAGTATGTCTCTTTGTTGTGTGCACATTCTCAACAGATGCGGTTCCCCCAACCCATTTCGGCAACCTCGTAGAAATGCGAGCTGAGTTGCTCACCGTGATCGATGATCGTGAAGGCCGCGCCTACTGTCGGATTACAACTTATGTTCTGGTGGACAAGGACCTCGAAGAATTGATCCCCCACACGTATGTGGCACGATCCTGCTTGTCTAACTGAGACTGGATTGGACCCCTGTGCGGGTTCAACGGCCCTTTTGATGGTATGGGCAGGCCGGCTCCAGGGCATGCCACGGGTGGGGCATGAGACGACCAAGCAGACGGGTCGCAGGGAGGAGTAGCACATGTGAACGGGAGCGCAAGTAGATGGAGTAGCGTGAGTAGGATTACCCCAAGCTGAAATTTTGTTATCTATAGTTGGCCTTTGCACAAAAAAGCCTTTGGAATAGGCGTGTGAAATATGTATGATATTTGCAATGGCCCGAGAGACGGGCTTGTTAAAATAAGCACGATCATGTAAATATAACGTGCAATGATTTGCTTATGTTGTTCTTGTGATTACTCGTTTAGATTTGCTTCCACTTGCGCATTTGAATAAAATGAACGAGTCGTACTAACTTGTTTTCACAAGTCACAGGCTCGTTCTAGTCATGATCAGTCATCACACATTGATCGTGATTCCGTGTCGGGGCGTGACACTAACGAGTAAGCACATGAGTTACCTTCCCTAAATTATGTAGCATTTTGACATGCTGGAAACACCTTAAAAGTTTCTGAATATGAGGAATGAGCGTGTCGCCAAAGTTGAGAGCAGGAGATGATCTCTGAAGCAGTGAAATGGCGACTTGCGAGTCCACCTCCACAATAAGTTTAGGTATGCCCAGAGAAATTGTCATTTTAAGACCCAAAAGGATGCTCCATTGTTCTGCTTTGAGCGAAGAGCACACTCCCACAATTTGAGCAAATTCAGCAAGCGAGCTGCCTAATTCATTTATCAAAAGCCCACCTACTGAGGCGGATCCCGGGTTGCCTTTAGAGGCCCCGTCGAAATTAAGCTTTACCCAACCAGTCGGGGGGGCAGCCCAACCCACAAGCTTATCTCTTTTCTCCCTTTGAGGCGACAATCTATGTTCTGCCAGTTGCACTGAAGCGATATCTTTCACATGGCCTAGAATCATGCACAAGGGTTCGTTGGTGAGACAAAAATCCTTCTCAAATAATCGTTTATTCCTCTAGTTCCAGAAATGCCAACAAGCAACAGCAAAAATAGGTGACCAGTTATCCCGAACCCTAGTTGATGAACCATATAGGTACAATATCAACCATGGGAGTAGATCTTGGGTGAAGAAGTCACCTCGGAAGCTGGCAGGTAGAATCTTCTGCCAAACTGCCTTTGCATATTTGCAATCTCTGAGAACATGCATAATTATCTCTGGATAGTGTGGGCACATCGCGCAACAAGAGTCCATTGTGAGTCTACGTCAAAATCTTTCATCATTAGTGAGCAGGCATTGATGAGAGACCAACTACATGAAGCTTTTGATTTTTTGTAGTCCATCCCATTTCTATACTAAACTCCAGAGTGGTTAGTCACACTCATTCACAAATGTTTTTAATTGGGAAATGACACAAATAGTCTCTCAACTTTTAATTTGTTCAATGTGGTCTTTAAACTTTAGTTTAATGTGCAATGTTGTCCTTAATCCTTTAGATTGTTCAATGTGATTTCT